GCCGTGCCACATGGAATGTGTGGTAACCTGATATCTCGTAAACCGCTAACCGGAAGTGGCCGAAATTTTGGCTAGTTTGAGATATTAATACTCTTATTATAATCTGTAAGTTTCATTGAAATCGGTTGATAATTGTGGTCTGTAGCCGTGCCACATGAAATGTGTGGTAACCTGATATCTCGTAAACCGCTAACCGGAAGTGGCCGAAATTTTGGCTAATTTGAGCTCGTAATACTCTTATTATAATCTGTAAGTTTCATTAAAATCGGTTGATAATTGTGGTCTGTAGCCGTGCCACATGAAATGTGTGGTAACCTGATATCTCGTAAACCGCTAACCGGAAGTGGCCGAAATTTTGGCTAGTTTGAGCTCTTAATACTCTTATTATAATTTGTAAGTTTCATTGAAATCGGTTGATAATTGTGGTCTATAGCCGTGCCACATGAAATGTGTGGTAACCTGATATCTCGGAAACCGTTAACCGGAAGTGGCCGAAATTTTGGCTAGTTTGAGATATTTATACTCTTATTATAATCTCTAAGTTTCATTGAAATCGGTTGATAATTGTGGTCTGTAGCCGTGCCACATGAAATGTGTGGTAACCTGATATCTCGGAAACCGTTAACCGGAAGTGGCCGAAATTTTGGCTAGTTTGAGATATTAATACTCTTATTATAATCTGTAAGTTTCGTTAAAATCGGTTGATAATTGTGGTCTGTAGCCGTGCCACATGAAATGTGTGGTAACCTGATATCTCGGAAACCGCTTACCGGAAGTGGCCGAAATTTTGGCTAGTTTGAGATATTATTAATGTTATTATAATCTGTAAGTTTCATTAAAATCGGTTGATAATTGTGGTCTGTAGCCGTGCCACATGAAATGTGTGGTAACCTGATATCTCGAAAACCGCTAACCGGAAGTGGCCGAAATTTTGGCTAGTTTGAGATAATAATACTCTCATTATAATCTGTAAGTTTCATTGAAATCGGTTGATAGTTGTGGTCTGTAGCCGTGCCACATGAAATGTGTGGTAACCTGATATCTCGGAAACCGCTAACCGGAAATGGCCGAAATTTTGGCTAGTTTGAGATATTATTAATGTTATTATAATCTGTAAGTTTCGTTAAAATGGGTTGATAATTGTGGTCTGTAGCCGTGCCACATGAAATGTGTGGTAACCTGATATCTCGGAAACCGCTAACCGGAAGTGGCCGAAATTTTGGCTAGTTTGAGATAATAATACTCTTATTATAATCTGTAAGTTTCATTGAAATCGGTTGATAATTGTGGTCTGTAGCCGTGCCACATGAAATTTTGGCTAGTTTGAGATAATCATACTCTTATTATAATCTGTAAGTTTCATTGAAATCGGTTGATAATTGTGGTCTGTAGCCGTGCCACATGAAATGTGTGGTAACCTGATATCTCGGAAACCGCTAACCGGAAGTGGCCGAAATTTTGGCTGGTTTGAGATATTATTAATGTTATTATAATCTGTAAGCTTCGTTAAAATCGGTTGATAATTGTGGTCTGTAGCCGTGCCACATGAAATGTGTGGTAACCTGATATCTCGGACACCGCTAACTGAAAGTGGTCGAAATTTTGGCTAGTTTGAGCTCTTAATACTCTTATTATAATCTGTAAGTTTCATTGAAATCGGTTGATAATTGTGGTCTGTAGCCGTGCCACATGAAATGTGTGGTAACCTGATATCTCGTAAACCGCTAACCGGAAGTGGCCGAAATTTTGGCTAGTTTGAGCTCTTAATACTCTTATTATAATCTGTAAGTTTCATTGAAATCGGTTGATAATTGTGGTCTGTAGCCGTGCCACATGAAATGTGTGGTAACCTGATATCTCGGAAACCGCTAACCGGAAGTGGCCGAAATTTTGACTAGTTTGAGATATTATTAATGATATTATAATCTGTAAGTTTCATTAAAATCGGTTGATAATTGTGGTCTGTAGCCGTGCCACATGAAATGTGTGGTAACCTGATATCTCGGAAACCGCTAACCGGAAGTGGCCGAAATTTTGGCTAGTTTGAGCTCTTAAAACTCTTATTATAATCTGTAAGTTTCATTGAAATCGGTTGATTATTGTGGTCTGTAGCCGTGCCACATGAAATGTGTGGTAACCTGATATCTCGGAAACCGTTAACCGGAAGTGGCCGAAATTTTGGCTAGTTTGAGATATTAATACTCTTATTATAATCTGTAAGTTTCATTGAAATCAGTTGATAATTGTGGTCTGTAGCCGTGCCACATGAAATGTGTGGTAACCTGATATCTCGGAAACCGCTAACCGGAAGTGGCCGAAATTTTGGCTAGTTTGAGCTCTTAATACTCTTATTATAATCTGTAAGTTTCATTGAAATCGGTTGATAATTGTGGTCTGTAGCCGTGCCACATGAAATGTGTGGTAACCTGATATCTCGTAAACCGCTAACCGGAAGTGGCCGAAATTTTGGCTAGTTTGAGATATTAATACTCTTATTATAATCTCTAAGTTTCATTGAAATCGGTTGATAATTGTGGTCTGTAGCCGTGCCACATGAAATGTGTGGTAACCTGATATCTCAGAAACCGCTAACCGGAAGTGGCCGAAATTTTTGCTAGTTTGAGATATTAATACTCTTATTATAATCTGTAAGTTTCGTTAAAATCGGTTGATAATTGTGGTCTGTAGCCGTGCCACATGAAATGTGTGGTAACCTGATATCTCGGAAACCGTTAACCGGAAGTGGCCGAAATTTTGGCTAGTTTGAGATATTAATACTCTTATTATAATCTGTAAGTTTCATTGAAATCAGTTAATAATTGTTGTCTGTAGCCGTGCCACATGAAATGTGTGGTAACCTGATATCTCGGAAACCGCTAACCGGAAGTGGCCGAAATTTTGGCTAGTTTGAGCTCTTAATACTCTTATTATAATCTGTAAGTTTCATTGAAATCGGTTGATAATTGTGGTCTGTAGCCGTGCCACATGAAATGTGTGGTAACCTGATATCTCGTAAACCGCTAACCGGAAGTGGCCGAAATTTTGGCTAATTTGAGCTCGTAATACTCTTATTATAATCTGTAAGTTTCATTGAAATCGGTTGATAATTGTGGTCTGTAGCCGTGCCACATGAAATGTGTGGTAACCTGATATCTCGTAAACCGCTAACCGGAAGTGGCCGAAATTTTGGCTAGTTTGAGATATTAATACTCTTATTATAATCTGTAAGTTTCATTGAAATCGGTTGATAATTGTGGTCTGTAGCCGTGCCACATGAAATGTGTGGTAACCTGATATCTCGTAAACCGCTAACCGGAAGTGGCTGAAATTTTGGCTAGTTTGAGATATTATTAATGTTATTATAATCTGTAAGTTTCATTAAAATCGGTTGATAATTGTGGTCTGTAGCCGTGCCACATGAAATGTGTGGTAACCTGATATCTTGGAAACCGCTAACCGGAAGTGGCCGAAATTTTGGCTAGTTTGAGATATTAATACTCTTATTATAATCTCTAAGTTTCATTGAAATCGGTTGATAATTGTGGTCTGTAGCCGTGCCACATGAAATGTGTGGTAACCTGATATCTCGTAAACCGCTAACCGGAAGTGGCCGAAATTTTGGCTAGTTTGAGCCCTTAATACTCTTATTATAATCTGTAAGTTTCATTGAAATCGGTTGATAATTGTGGTCTGTAGCCGTGCCACATGGAATGTGTGGTAACCTGATATCTCGTAAACCGCTAACCGGAAGTGGCCGAAATTTTGGCTAGTTTGAGATATTAATACTCTTATTATAATCTGTAAGTTTCATTGAAATCGGTTGATAATTGTGGTCTGTAGCCGTGCCACATGAAATGTGTGGTAACCTGATATCTCGTAAACCGCTAACCGGAAGTGGCCGAAATTTTGGCTAATTTGAGCTCGTAATACTCTTATTATAATCTGTAAGTTTCATTAAAATCGGTTGATAATTGTGGTCTGTAGCCGTGCCACATGAAATGTGTGGTAACCTGATATCTCGTAAACCGCTAACCGGAAGTGGCCGAAATTTTGGCTAGTTTGAGATATTAATGTTATTATAATCTGTAAGTTTCATTAAAATCGGTTGATAATTGTGGTCTGTAGCCGTGCCACATGAAATGTGTGGTAACCTGATATCTTGGAAACCGCTAACCGGAAGTGGCCGAAATTTTGGCTAGTTTGAGCTCTTAAAACTCTTATTATAATCTGTAAGTTTCATTGAAATCGGTTGATTATTGTGGTCTGTAGCCGTGCCACATGAAATGTGTGTAACCTGATATCTCGGAAACCGTTAACCGGAAGTGGCCGAAATTTTGGCTAGTTTGAGATATTAATACTCTTATTATAATCTGTAAGTTTCATTGAAATCAGTTAATAATTGTGGTCTGTAGCCGTGCCACATGAAATGTGTGGTAACCTGATATCTCGGAAACCGCTAACCGGAAGTGGCCGAAATTTTGGCTAGTTTGAGCTCTTAATACTCTTATTATAATCTGTAAGTTTCATTGAAATCGGTTGATAATTGTGGTCTGTAGCCGTGCCACATGAAATGTGTGGTAACCTGATATCTCGTAAACCGCTAACCGGAAGTGGCCGAAATTTTGGCTAGTTTGAGCTCTTAATACTCTTATTATAATCTGTAAGTTTCATTGAAATCGGTTGATAATTATGGTCTGTAGCCGTGCCACATGAAATGTGTGGTAACCTAATATCTCGGAAACCGTTAACCGGAAGTGGCCGAAAGCTAGTTTGAGATATCAATACTCTTATTATAATCTGTAAGTTTCATTGAAATCGGTTGATAATTGTGGTCTGTAGCCGTGCCACATGAAATGAGACTTGTCATATGTGGCAAATAGTCTCCGTATTGTCTTACCACATGTGGCAAATAGCCCCAGCCATTACTAACTAAACGAAAAAAACGCGACCGAGATTTGAATGAATGAAAGTAAATAAGCATCAGTGACAAAACAACTCACACTGGCAAAAAGAAAGAAAAGTCGCTATGTACCCGCACAAGTTGTGTTGCTATGGTCAAATGTGACACTAGTCCACTGTCAAATATGACAACCACAACACAGTCACAAACAAACCAAATTAAACACGTTATATTTTGCCCGTCATCCTAAATATCCCTCGGTCTTTCTTCTTGGTGAACTTCGAGGTCAAATAAGGGAGATAACTTCACAATTTTACCTTGAAAACGAAATAACCAACATTGTCATTTGACTAAAAATATGCTGATATAGTAGGAAGAGGCGACGCAGGTGCAATGTATCGATTGAAAGCCAATCTAAGTAAACAAGCCATTGAGAGCCCAATTTCTGACAGATTGATTGAATAAAATCGATTATTAAGTTTTTATTTATCATAATATCGGTCAGAACGAAACAGATGTTATAAGCATCAAAGTCAAGGTCGTTGTACGTCGCTATTTCATTGGCTGAAAGTGTCACGCCCCCATCTAAATATAGACATGTAAACAAAGCTATATTGGAAAACACGCAGACACCCCCAAAAATGTGTCATGTAAATAACGCGATTTCAATTTATATATAGGTTTATAGTTGAAAAGACAAGAAATTTCTGCTCAGGGTTTGTGCGAAATTTCTGCTCAGGGTTTACGAGAACTGTCAAATAAAATTTATCTCATGTGATGAAAGTTATTTACTTATATACTCAATAATGAACCGGTAAATATCAAATACAGATAATGAGAAATATGACGCTGAAATATGACTGTATCATTCGATGTCAAATAATCATTTTTTGTTGGCATGGGAATTATAATAATAATAATATATGATGTACATGAGTATGATGTCCTTATATACATGTCTGGGGGGGGGTGGATGGCTGAATGGTTAGCGTGCGCGCACTGTATCATAAAGTCTGTCATTGAGTCGACTGGCGTGGTTTCGAATCCCCGGTTGTACGTGACAAAGAGTAGGGTCGCCTGTCCAACCTCGTGGGTTTTCTCCCGGTCCTCCGGTTTCCTCCCACTGCTAAAGACCCCTATGTGCAAGCGAATTATTGAAATAAAATTAAACCATATGTTAGTCCCGAAATGACCTAGTTTATGTCGAGTGGACGTTAAACCCCATTTCTCTCATTCTCTATATACATGTTTGGACATAATATGAGTAGGACGTTAAACCCCATTTAAAATTCATTTCGTTGGACATTATAATTATATGCAAATAATAAAGTTATATAGTTGTAGTACCACAACAAAGAGTCTTTTTGTACCCATGCTCCTTAAAATTTGTCAGGGCCAGGGTCAAAAAAAGTTTCAGGTGAATAATTTTTTTTAAAAAATATTTAGCTTACAAATTATATTTCAACAAAGCCCCCCCTGTCGCCTTTTAATGTTTACATATGGGGAAAAAGCCATGTAGCCTTGTATACTACCAAATTATAACTTAATAGTTTAGATGACAGCCTATAATATATTACATGTATTTCATTTCAGGGCTCGATCTACTCTGCTGGTTACCTTTGGATTTGATTTAGTTCCATACCATTGCTTTTCTCATTTAAGATAGTAAAAAAAAAGCACATTTTTTGCATTGAAATTCTTTAAGTAGGGTGTGTTTACTTAAATATTATCTTTTTTAAAATATGAAACATGATTTCATAAACCAAAACCATGAAAAAAAGGTTTATTACTGATGAAGGATTAGTCGGGATTATCGCTATTTTTAATTATACTTTCTTTTAAAGTTTCAACCCAAAATGACATAACTACAGGAAATATCACAAATCTAGATACAGATTGATTTTTATAAATCCATGCCCTTTTAAAGATGCATGATGTAAGTATTAGATAAAGAGGTGGCCGTTCTTGCTATAATAGTTTAAAGATGCATCATGTAAGATTTAGATAAAGAGCTTTATCACCCAATAATACATTCTACAGTAGATATTGCTTGTGTGATATATTTTATAATCTACTGCGATATCTCCTTAGATATCGCTTTACATGAATTTGATTGGTCAGTTGAAAAGGAACTACTTTTTTTATTTTCAAAGAACAGTTCATTTCTTATTAAAAGTAACTTTTTTTTTTTATTAAAAATGAACCATTGTTATTCAATTGACCTTGACGGAAACACTGGGTCGATATAAAGGACTTTGCAACGGTTGAATTGCTGTCAAAAAATGATGTATCACTACGCCGTAATGTTCATTAAAAGTGATATCTACAGTAAAGAATTATACACGTATTTATCTATTTGTGCATGTAAGAAGGGATTGGGTGATAAATAAAATCTCCTACTCGTCTTTTTGGATATCAAAAAATATCAACACTCGTTAATAAAGTAAAAAAAACTCGGCTCTTTTTGTTACTTTATCAACTTGTGTTGATATTTTTTGATATCAAAAAAGACTGGTAGGAGATTCTCTATATAATAAGTTATATAAAAGATGCATTACATAAGATTTAGATAAAGAGCTGACCGTTCTTGCTATACTAGCAATTAAAGATTTATGGAAAATTTAGATAAAGAGTTGGCAATTCTGGCTATGATATTTCAAAAATAGATAATGCAAAATGAATATATTGAAAATTTCAATCGAATTACTTTATCGTGAGTGAAGTTATAAGTGCTGGAAGATGTTACACAGATGGTTTATCACCACATAAAGACTAAATGTGTTTGTTTTAATTATTATGAATAATATTGCCACTTTAAAGTTTGAAAAACATGAGACAGTTTTTAATTAACGGATAATAACTTGTATCTGAAAGGGATTAGTCAAAAAAAAGAATTTTTTTCAATTTTCAATTCTTTATCTTTAAGACATGCCTCTGTTAAAATTCAAATTACAACAACTTATCTTTATCTTTGTCCAATATCTAAATGTCAAACTATTTAGTAATTTGTACTCTTATTTTAACATTATATAATTTATTACAGTCTAAATTGAACGACAGTCGTTTGAACCTTCTTGATCAATTCTACACGTTTTAATAATTATTATTCTGTCGTTTAAGAATCAGACATTACTAATTAAACTCCCGCATTATCTTAGCACGTCACTCTGTTTCCTAGGTAACTTGTCTGATGTCACGTTACCTAGGAAACAGTTGTTTACAACATTACCCATGATGGAAGTGGGTGTTCACTTCTATAAATTCTACCAACAAATGAATTAATCTTACTAATAGAAATTTAGTTGTTTGTTAATAACATACTCATTGTATCTTTTCTTTTAGTTGTACATGGCCCATGAGTGCTTTTCAGGTAGGGGGTCCGGATGGCCGAATGGTTACTGTCATTGAGTCAATTGTTGTGGTTTCAAAACCCTGGTTGTACGTGACAAGGAGTAGGGTCGGCTATCCAACCATGTGGGTTTTCTCCGGGGCCTCTGGTTTCCACCCACTGCTAAAAAACCCTACACGCCAGTGAATTATTGAAATAACATTGAACCATATGTTAGTCCCGAAATGACCTAGTTTGTGTTGAGTGGACGCTAAACCCCATTTCTCTCCCCCGCTTTTCAGGGAATCCAGCACTTCTCTATAAGATTATGTCAATCTGTTTCACAGAGAAATTCTGAAGTCTTCTTATACCTCTGTATAGGATGACTGCCTTCAACATATGAAGTCACTTCACAAGCGGCGCCTCGATCATTGACCCAATTGTGCATGCATTGTTTACATAAGACGTTGTGAGAATGAACTGGTCCGGTCAGAATGGTGCCTTTTACTTATTTTACATACCCATGTTTTACCTACATTGTACATGTACTTCAAACACCTTTATGTATTTTTTTTAATACTTCAACAAAATGTTCTAGAATTTAATTTGCAGAAGGAAAGTTAATATTGGGAGCTCATTAAGCCGCACCAATGTCAACCCTTTCAGTGATTGTCTTGACCTAGCGAATATTCACTGCTGATCAATGCGGGATTAAGAGTCTCTATATACCAAATACAACATGCTATATCTGCCTATTGCAGGTCTTTATTTAGGCCTGAAATGTTATCTAAATTATTAATTAGACATTAATTAACTTATCCAGACCATAATCAACTCTAGATGGCATCGGTAGCCTGCAATATTTACTGGATTAGAACCCGGTCTGCTGCTTCTGATTAAATCAAAAAATGGATAATCAAGACTATGTATTTTATCGTCACCGTTTGACGTGTCTTGTGGAATATGTCTAGCCTCATTCTTTGAGTCCCTTTTTACAAATGGCGCTGAAACGCATTATGGTACACAATTCGTGTACCAATGGTAAAATGTTTATTTTGTCTTAAATATTGGATATCAGAAGCCGATCTTAAATGACAATTAAAATTGACAAATAATTCGTGTTTAGAGAGTTAGCTACTTTAACAATATTTTGGAGGGAATGTATCTTTAAACTTAAACATGAATAAATTTAGTTTTGGATCACCGCCTACGCCATCAGATATAATTGAAATTGAGTTGATTTATGTCCAATTGATTTCAAAGGTTGTGTATATTATTTCACAGTCCTGTGGTTAATATTAATCAATATAGAATATAATTAACTTCGTTGCCAGATATATACACATTTACTGCTATATATACAAATACAATGTATAGCTAATCTACGATTCAAAAATATATTTTAGGATCTACTCTGAAATTAGTGTGATATAATGTTTTATTTGAATTAAAAACTAGTGCATCCACAAGATTTTTTTTTAAATTGATATATGACTATAACTCTGACACTAATTATCAGAAATTAATCACTTTAGCCTCTTAAAGCCATGGAGAATGTCTGAAACACTTAATATTACTTTGCGCTTGCTATGATAAAACTAGAAAAAGGGGTGGATCCAGGAATTTCTGCAGGAGGGGTGATTGTCTGGTTCCTGAGACAATGTATCTTTGGGGGGGTGGTGCTTGAAATTTTTTGAGAAATACATGGTCTCTATGTTATTTTGGAGTATATACATACACACTGAGCTTTTTAAAGACAGAAATCCAACACCCCGTTTGACATCAATTTTTTTTATTATGAGTTAATATGATGACATTGTGATTTTATGTCTATAAAAAATTATATCATTATATGCCCATCCCATCTGATGATAAAGGATAAAGCCCATGACCATGAAATTTTTCTCATAAAAAGTGTTGTTTTTACAATTTGTTTTATGTAGCTGAGCATGTTTGGACCCCCCCCCACCCCTGAAAAATGATAGCGCTACTATGTTGCTCTGGTAAC